TTCCATATATATATATATATATATATATATATATGGAAGTGCCACAAGGTCCCCAAACGACCCTCCGCAGGTTTTGAGATCAGAGCTGTCCTTCTCCTAGACCATATATATATATATATATATAGTAACAACCCAACAGCAGTACGAGATTTGATTATAGTGATGAAGGTTTCGTGCAGGACCATCCACACTTTTTGAAGGGACGAATACAGAGACCTGGTGCACTAAATGCCACAAGGTCCCCAAACGACCCTCCGCAGGTTTGGAAATCTGAGCCCGCCTCCTAGACTATATATATATATAATATATATATATATATAATGTAGTAACTTTTAAGCAATTAGTATTTTTAGTTTTTAATCCGATATTATTTCTACAGAAAAGCACATTTTCTTTAAAAATAATTTCGCTCTCTAGGCTTGTAGGCATTAATTTCGTTATTTGTAAACTTGGATATCTGCTCAATTCCTAAATATAAAGTTTATAGTAACATGCGCGTATTTAAAGTTCTTTATAAATTTCACAACTAACAGGACAGACATTCAGTGCTACAAGAAGTGCGCTTCAAGAGAAGCAGCATCATTTTTACACCTTTAGTTTCTTCAATACAAGTCCTTTTTGGTTTGTTTTGTTTACTTTTTTTTCTTCTTCTTTTTACTGACGACGGATGCATGTGTTTTCCGCCATGAAGATTCGCCATTCCCGCTGTGCACTGTCACGTGCTTTTACTCATTGTTTATTCGTCGAAATATGTCACACTCCTATTTCGTCTCCTGCATTTCATTCATACACTGGAAATGCCTCGAACTCTGCATATGTTTTCACTCTTTGTTCACAAAGCGCATAATATTATGCATCTTAATGCAACATTGGATCAGATATAGAGTAGATATCTGTTTATCTTACGAGATAAAGGCAGCGCCCAATCTGGTTCAAATTCAGTCCTTTGGTGGTCAGAATGCAGTGAGCGATGGTATCTGGAGGCCGTGGTATATATATGGTATTAGGTTAGTGCAAAAATAATGACGTAATAATGTCGTTTTTTTTACGTATTTTTTAACGTCAAAAAACGACATTCTTACGTCATTATTTTTGCACCAACCTAATATATGCTTGAGCGATGGTATCTGGAGGCCGTTCTATGCCCAGATGGCATGCCTCTTGCTCCTTCTCTCGGTCATGCCGACAAGAAGCAAAGAAATACATGACATTACATATGGGGCCGTATTGTCTGCAGCAGTTTACGGAACTTTGTGTTGTCAGCCAACAGTTTGATGTTCCAGTCTAGGTTTTCTATCTGGATTTACTTGGTAGGATATGTACGTAAGGCACTGGAGGTTTGAAATCAGGCTTTTCCTCCCCCTAGATAGACTGCCTTCCAGAGCTGTCGAACACCATCTACACAAATTAACTGGTTACGAGGCGCCATTTGCCCACCTTCGCTCATTCATTCATTGGTGATGAACTTAGTTGTCAGTACATCACATCAAAAAACAATATATTATTATTATTATTATTATTATTGAGTGATAGAACAGTAGACCAACAAAGTCACGCTAGTGTTGAAATACACCCATCATTGCACGCACTGACTCTCACACACTCACTGACTATCTATCTCAGTTTGTTCACTATCTATCTATCTATCGAAACGAAAGGCGCCCGCATCCACCAGAGAACTGACATCACTGAGCACCTAACGAGTACACCCGAACAATTCCCATGAAAGTATTTATTAAAAAAAATCAAAGTGAAGCTACGTTACGGCGGTGAGAATGTGACTGAAACCGAGCAGCCAGATCAGGACCAGTAATATTGCTGATTCTTTAGATCTTATCAAGGATCTCTAGATACATAGCACCGGCCCATATATGGCAGAAGGATTCTAAGCATGGACGAATGGTAGACTTATAGATATGTAAGATAGATTCAGGAGAGAAAAATCGTCTCGCACGACGCAGTAGCAAAAGTAACCCTATACTAAGAGACATATTGATAAAAACTGATTCAATTAAAAACACTTTCTACACTCTGGAAAAGTATTGTTACCTTATTGCAACTGGGTGTCTTCTTAAGTCGACTGCGATTAAAAAAAAAAAAAGAGGAAACAAAATCCCACTTTATTTCCGCTATTAAATTTCCATAATGAAAACTTTTGTGACGTACGATGGCCGTTAATGATTAAGTATAACTCAAGACTTCAATGTTAAGTTAAAACAGTATTTAATTACAACCGCAAATAAATACTTAACAAGAACAAAGAAGTAAAAGTCAACCAAAGATAATTAACCATTTCAATGAATAACTTGTTAGTAGCATGGCTCGGCTTAATGTACAGTAAATCTTAAATCAAAACCCAAATTATCGACGTACAATAATTCACACTAATTCGACTGGATAGTTCCATTCAATGATCACTTCAGTCAGTAGCCTGACACCGCTACTCATACATCTGGCGGAAAAACATATCTTCATAAGTCCAGAGTGTCACGCTCGAACCTCAGGGTCGGTAGTTATTCATTTTCTTCATATATGACAAAAACAAAAGAGCAAATTTAACACAAGGCTGAATAAAACTTGCTGAATTTAAAAGTCAGATGTTTCTTCTAATACACTAAAAATACTTTTTACAATAATGTCCACCCTATACAAGGCACAAGAGGCAATCGATATAGTGAATTACTACAGAGTAATAGGCACAGTTTATATGAATATGTGGAGAAGGTAATGTTTAGCCCTAGACTTGAACAGGCCAAGATTGTAGTGACCGGGAAAGCACCCTGTTGGGAGTCAGTTCCACAAAGCAGCGGTTAGTGGAAAAAAGCTGCTAGACTCGAACTTCGATCTCACCAATGCATGACGAAGAGAATGAGGGTGGTACGCTACAATGGGCGTGGCATGGCGGGTCCTAGCCGTGAAGGTTAGAACTGGTGGAACTAAAGAATGTAGTTCGTCTGAACATTTGCCATGGAAATAGCGATAATATAACGAGCGGCTTGCAACGTTTCATCTGTGAGAAAGGGTGGATAATAACTGATGATCCATAAGCCCACGGAGACGCTTTCGGACTCTATTCAGACTGGGAAGTAAAGACTTGGCAGCTCCTGCCAATATATGGCAGCATTATTCCATTTCCTGGATAATCTGCTTCTTGGAAATGTATAGGATAGCGGAAGGAGTCAGGTACTTACTGGAGCGATCATCTTTCCAGCATCTTCAGCGATGGATCGTTTGTAAGAGTTCCACTTGAGGTCTGGTTTGAGTTGACGTTTCAACAGGCGCTCAAGACACGGGACATCTGTAAAAGAAAACCCGTTCATCGCGATAGGCGGGAATTCAGGGTCTGATCGGTGGTGATGATACGTCACTCGTTTGTTTTTCCAGGCCTTTTTCCCACTGAGCTGTTAGAACAAGATCAGAGAAGAGATCAGTTACTAGGCTCTGGTTATGTAGCATTTGGGAGTTGCACTCATATACCGTTATACCATCAGTATATGTATCCATAAAAGATCGAAATATACTATTAGGCAGATGCTTAATGCAAAATAGAAAGCGAGTTGGACCGAGATGCAAGCTTTCTGGGATGCCTGAGTTGATCACTTGGGCCAAGGAGGACTGGCTGTTAACAACTACCTTCAGGAACCTACCTATTAGGAAAGCCTTGATAATTAAGAAGACTCTTTCGGTGATACCATAGCTGGAAAGCTTATGAAGCAACACTTTATACCACCAAAGACTTTCGAAATAACTAATGTCTTTCTTGTCTAGTGCCTCATTAAATGTTTGAATAATGACAGGCTATCAGCAGCGGACCGAGTTAATAAAAATCCGTACGACTTATCGCTCAAGAAGTTGTCTCTATTAATGTTGCTAACAACCTTCTTATTTATTATAACCTCAAAAATTTGCTGATAACACTGAGGCACTTTCAAACTCTATCGAGACTGGGAAGTCTGGTTCTTGTAAATGTATAGGATAGCGGAAGGAGTCAGGTACTTACTGGAGCGATCATCTTTCCATCATCTTCAGCGATGGATCGTTTGTAAGAGTTCCACTTGAGGTCTGGTTTGAGTTGACGTTTCAACTGGCGCTCAAGACACGGGGCATCCGTAAAAGAACACCCGTTCATCACGATAGGCGGAAATTCAGGGTCCGCTCGATGATGATGATACATCACTCGTTTGTTTTTCCAGGCATTGAATGTGACCAGCCAGTTTTTTCCCAACTGAGCTGTTAGAGCAAGGTCAAAGGAGAGATCAGCTAGAAGGTTCTGGTCATCTAGAGCAAGGGTCGGCAACCTCCGACCCCTGGGCCAATTCCGGCCGGCGAAGGATTTTTGTCCGGCCCGCCAGCTTAATACCTGGACACTAATTATGTAATTAATTTGTGGAGCAAGTTACAGAAAAAAATATCATTTGGAGTTAATTGACTTACAATGCGACGAACTTTTTAAATCAAAATTTCATTCCGAATCCACTTTTGACTTCTACAAGAAATCTGTTTTGACAAATGGAAAATAGAAAAGCCTATTGAATAATTCGAAAATGATGGCATCATTATTTGAAAATACACATGCTTGTGAACATCTTTTTTTTTTTCGAAAATGAAATTTATTAAAAGTCGTTTAAGAACAAGATTGGGTGATGATCACCTGGATGATGTTGTAGCGGACCGTGGGTTTACGTGTTGTTAAATTAGGAACACGTGTGTTTATTCCTGCTAGAAGAAGGTCCGCTACAAGAACATGGTGGACTCAGAGATTAATCCACGATAAAGAAGTGTAAAGAAAACTAACTGGACGATGCTTTGCTCTTGTCATCAACAAATATTTCACTTGATGTGAAGAAGTTATCAAACAATAAGCAGAAACGAATGTTTCATTAAATACTTTGCCATTTCTAACCGTATTTCGTTTGTTATGAGGAAAGTCATTATTTATTGTCTTAGTTGTTATCCTGTTATTCCTGTAGTAAAACAAGGAACATTGTTTAAATAATATAGCATTAACTTCGTTGTTTTTTCTTTAAACTTTCAGACGAAGGCAGCTTTCTGGAAAAAAAGCAATCTGAGATCGAGGCAATTTGTTATAATACATATATCATGGCCCATCTCCAAGACAATGCATAGCTTTCTGGCCCACTCTTTCCAAAAGGTTGCCTACCCCTGATATAGAGTTTGGGAGGTGTACCTATACACCATTGTATCAAAGCTAAGAAAACAGAAAACAAAGAAGAATATATATATATATATATATATATATATATATATATATATATTACAAGTAATATAGACGTTTATGTAATTAAGGAAAATTAAAGATGACATTTTTTTTTTGTGCAAGAATTCCCAGCACGTTATTTTGGAAGCAGATCAAACTGAATAAATAAGAGAAAAGATTTCTTCATTGCAGAAACATTTCATCGCACCAAATTGTTTCTAAAATCAATAGTTATGTCTCACCTATTTTATTAAAAAATATTTGCATTCTATGTATGAACTACAAATATGTATCGTCCGCACTTGTATTACTGATTATTATTATCTGAAGATATTGTATAAAGCGACTATGTGTCCAGTCAGTGACTCATGGAGAAGCACGTGCTCACATAGATTTACTCTATGACCGTGCGTATACAAACATGGTTAGAAAAATACAAACAAGTATATTCAGAATGAGAAAAACTTTCGATGTAGGCTTACTTTTATTTAATTTAAGGTCATTTCAAGAATATTCAATGCAATTCAAATACAAAAGACTGAAATTATTCTTACGTGGAATTGTTTTGGCAAATGCAATTCATTTGGGTATATTCGGCCAAGAAGAGTAAGAAAATGAAAGCCGAAAATACTAATTGTTTAGTATACAGTTGTTTATCTTCTTCATTTTCTTCTTCTTTCTTTTTCTTTTTCTTTTCTTCTTTTCTTTTCTCTACTTCTTTCTTCTTCTTTTCTTCTTTTCTGTTTCTTCTTTTCTTCTTCTTTCTTCTTTTTCTTTTTTCTTTTGTTTTTCTTTTCTTTTTCTTTTCTTCTTTCTTCTTTTCTTCTTCTTCTTCTTTCTTTTTCTTTTTTGTTTTGTTTTTCTTTTCTTCTTCTTTTCTTTTTCTTTTCTTCTTTCTTCTTTCTTTTTCTTTTTTCTTTTGTTTTTCTTTTCTTCTTCTTTTCTTTTTCTTTTCTTTGTCTTCTTCTTTTCTTCTTTTTTCTTCTTATCTTTTCTTTTTTCTTTTCTTCGTCTTCTTTTCTTTTCCTCTTTCTTCTTCTTTTTCCTCTTCTTTTGTTCTTCTTTTCTTCTTCTTCTTTTCTACTTCTTTCTTATCTTTTCTTCTTTTTCTTTTCTTCTTACTTCTTTTCTTCTTGTTTTCTTTTCTTCTTTTTTTTCTTATTTTCTTTTCTTCTTCTTTCTTCTTCTAATCTTTTCTTCTTTCTTCTTCTTTTCTTCTTCTTTTTTCTTTTCTTCTTTCTTCTTCTTTTCTTCTTTATCTTTTCTGGCTCGCTCTCTCCAAAAGGTTCGACTTATAGAGTTTGGGAGGTGTATGAACTGTAAATAAATACCGACTGCACTTGTAATAATGATTATTATTATTCCAAGATATTATATAAAGCGACTGTGTGTCCAGTCAGTGACTCCTAGAGAGGCACGTGCTCACATAGATTTACTATATGCGTATACAAACATGTTTGGAAAAATACAAATAAGTATATTCAGAATGAGAAAAACTTTCGATGTAGGCTTACCATTTTTTTAAAATTAAGGTCATTTCAAGAATTGAGATAAACATTCAATGCAATTCAAATACAAAAGACTGAAATTATTCGTACAATGGAAACCTATTTTCCAGAAAAGTTGTATTAAGAGAATGATTTCATAAATTTCAACCTCCAGTGACACTGATTGGTCGGCCAATGAATGCTGAATGTTTCCTATAAGGAAACGGTTATTCTCACCAATAACATTACAATGAATTGTTCCAGATCCTCAGATTACAGGCAAGACAATCGTTTCCTTTCGATGTTCAATAACATTCCCTCTCAGATAATTAGTCAGAAATGGCTGTAGCTCGCCTTAAGTATGTCTCATAATGATATTAAATAAGAATAGATTTGCTATTACTTCCGTTCTCTTTTTAGATTATGAACACAGTTGTGCTTACATAGCTGATGTAGGATAAACTCTTAAAAGGCATTTAACAGACACAGACTTTTGGCCGTTGCATTGCATGGTGCCATACAAAAAACTCTGGCTTCTTTGGCGCATTTCTTTTTTTGATATAGGACTTGGGCCAAACATGATTTAGCTAAGTTAATCACGAGAAAGATAAATGATAAATAAAATGATAAAATAATAGATTCTTTGTTTTGCACAGAGACAAAAATCAAAGCAAACTTGAACTTTTAGCTAAAATCAAATTGGAGTGATCGTTACGGCTAACTTGCTTTTCGTAGCAGCGCGGTATTTTTTTTTTTCTTTTTTTTTTTTTTTTTTTTAATCATTTCACCCCATGCAAGGCGAAAATGCCACTAGTGCGCAAAGGGTTACAGGGAGTGAAAGCCAGAGAAAAAAAAAACTGAGTATAGGGAGAATTGAGTAAAAAACAAAAGATGAACAGGGTTTAAATAAGATAAAACATAGCGATTGACGTTGCATTTAACTTTTTAAAGATTGTAGTTATCAGGGAGATAAGTAAACGGAAGGGATTTCCACAGGAAGGAAGTGAGAGAAAAGAAACTCTTGGAGGAGAAGTGGCGGCTGTATTTAGCCATTTCAAAAGTAAACGGGTGGGGCCTAGTTGCTAATCTAGTAGAGCGCTTAAATACATGCATTCGGGACAACAGGACAAAAAGCTCGCCAGAGCAGTTGCCTTGAAAATATTTGTAGAAAAGACAGAGGGAAGCCACGTTACGTTGGTGAGGAAGTGACTGTAGTCAAGATACGAAGTCAGGATCGATTACATTACAGATCCTTCTGTGGATTTTGTCAAGAATCTCGAGATGAATTCAAGAAGATTAAATATCTGGGAAGTGTTTTAACGGTGGATGGAAAATTGTGACTTCGAAAATCGAACGCGCGTTTGAATAAAAAAAAAAAAAGAAACCTTCCAAAAGCTAAGCAACAAGAAACTGTATGGCAGTGAATTCGGGACCATATGAAGTGAAAACTTGAGGGCAACAGAAGGATGCTGAGAATAGTATGGACGGATAGCGTAAGCGACGATGAAGTCTTAAGGAAAATGGTAGCAAAAAAGATTAATTAGAATCAGTTGAACTTTCTTAACCATATAATGAGGTAAGGGGTCTTGGAGAATTTGGCACTCACGGGACATATCGAAGGCAAAGCGGGTGGGGGTAAGGCAGCTTATGTGAAATAATGGCGGAACAGGCAGTGCAGGGGATTTGAAATGATACAAACGTTACTCAGATCTACAATGGATAGGAGGTTGTGGAGAGCCATTATCACCCACATCCTGAGCGGACATGGCACATAGAGAAAGTAGCTCAGTGTTATAAGTCGATATAACTTCCCTTTATTCCTCGTCTACCTTCTCTCTCTTTCTTTTTATCTCTTTCTTTTGTAAATGGTCTGGAGCCCTTACTAATTGTCTCAAGGTATTTGATAAAATCCAAAGACAGATCTGCAATGTAATTGGCCCTGATCTGGCATCTCGTCTGCAGCCGCTCTCTCACAGACGTGCCGTTGCCTCCCTCTGTCTTTTTTTTCAAATACTTTCACGGTAACTGCTCCGATGAGCTGCGTTCGCTGGTTCCCAGACTTCATGAATTTAAGCTTTTCAACTAGGCTGGCATCTCGCTCTCAACCTTTCACTGTCGAAACTGTTAAATGTAGCCGTCTCTTCTACTCCAATAGCTTCATCCCTCGCACTTCTCGCCTGTGGAACTCCCTCCCCATTTCTTGTTTTTCTGATAGCTATAATCTCCATCTATTCAAATGTAATGTCAATCGACGTCTCCAGATGCCCTGATCTATCCCCTAACCGTCTCTTCATCCTTTCCTCTATCACTCCGCTCCAACTCTCTGTAACCCCTTGCGTGCTAGTGGCTTCCCGCCTTGCTTGGGGTTGAATGCTTAAAAAAATAAAACTCTAAAGCAACTCGCGCACAGAGAGAAATATGATTTTCCAGTTAGATCTTCGCCTATGCATGTATCAGCTGTCAGTATTTTTAACGTTCGTTTCTTATATAAAATGAAAAGAAATTCAGAAATTTTTTTTTACAAACACGCTAATGAGTGTTGAAATCTTCACAGTATTTCGTATTGTTGAAGTTATCACATCCACTGCCCATTTGAAGTTCTAACTGCTGTGTTTATATTTATAGTACTGCTACTACTGTCATTTATATTTTATCAGAATGAAATATATATATATATATATATATATATATATATACAGTGTAACCCGGATATAAGAGAGATTTTCTCTGGTCCCAAATTAGAGCCTGTGTTAATGTATATAAAATAGACCAAACCCGGATATAAAAGACTTCTTCTCCGGTCCCGACAACTCTCTTATATCCGGGTTACACTGTATATATATATACTCGACTCTCTCGTTGAATTCGACGTATGAGGGTCAAGCAGATCAGTTCCTAGGAAACTGACAGCCCGACACCAGCGCATGAGATTTGGTTATAGTGATGAAGGTTTTGTGCAGAACCAACCACACTTTGGTCCCGAACGTAGTACACTACGTACCACAAGGTCCCCAAACGACGCTCCGAAGGTTTTGAATTCAGAGTTGACTATCCAAGGCTGTTGTGCTATTTATCCATATCTGGAGGGAGCAGAAGAGGATTCATACCTTTCCCAAGGGTATTAGCACGTAAGTGAATGTAATGGATTTAACTGGAATTTGAACTCGGCTCTCCGATTCCTCAATCCAAGCCGCTATCCATTACGCTATCGTATGTGTATATATAAATCATAACAAAAACCAGGTTTGCAGATATATCGCATATTAAACAGTGTGTACCCTAGAAAAATATTACACGATTAGTGAGAGTGTATCGAATGAACTGGCGCACAATCTATTCACTGTTATATTTAACAGTCCCCCCTACAAGGAATGTATGTGGCACAAGGCCGAGTTTAACGTGGGTTTCTCCGAGCCCATAGGCTCGGCCAAAAATATTCCCTTTAAACCCGCCTAGACACCATTTACACTCTTCGAACTGTTGTCCTCATTTTTACTGTCACATTCAGGACGTTTCGGCCGTTGTAAGCTCCGACCTTCTTCAGGATCTGCCTATATTTCTGAGAAGAGATATTTTAACTGCTTGCACTATTTACATTGTTCGAACTGTTGTCCTCATCTTTATGGCCGCATTCACGGCGTTTCTGCCGTTGTACGCTCCGGCCTGCTTCAGGGTCTGTCTATATTTCTGATATGAGGTATTGTAACTGTTTACACAATTTATGTTGTTCGAACTGTTATCGCATCTTTACTGTCACATTCACGCAGTTTCGGCCGTTTTACGCTCAGGCCTTCTTCAGGTAATATGTGTTGGAAGTTCCAACCGAACCCCTTATTCACTCCACACGGGTAGATTGTGCTAATTACACATACTAATTATTTGGATATTTCAGTTTTAGTTAATTCGCGTCGATAACTCGCCAAGTTTTTTGTTCAAGGACACATCCATCATGTCCAAGGTCACACGGTCCAGTGAATAAAAAAAGCGTTGGTTGGATGGTTGGTCTAAAAAGGGACTTGACCCAAAGAGATTTGTGTTCAATATCTGTCCTCAGCGAAGAGTTCATTTTTTTTTTTTTTTTTGCGCTTGTGTTATATTACTAATGAAATCTAGTAGTTTTGGGCTAGTCGTTTGCCAGGATTAGTATTGTGGAGTATTTGTAGAGGTGTTTTTTAAACTCTCATATAACAGACTGGGTCTTATAGCCTTTCAGAATAACGGACTAAGAGAACGATACCTCAGACTGGTGCCCCCGCTGTTCATCTAGAGGTTCTCGACAAAATCCAAAGACGGATATGCAATGTGATAGGCCCTGACCTGGCATCTCGACTATAGACAATTTCTCTCAGACGTGATGTTTCTACAAATATTTTCATTTTTTCTCTGACGGCCTAATTTCACAGGTACCCCAACTGCATGAATTTAAGCTTGCTACAAGGTTGGCATCTAAGCCCTTTCCCTTTCACAGTCGAAACAGTTAAATGTAACCACCTCTTCTACTTCAACAGCGTCTTCTCTTGCACTTCCCGACAGTGGAATTCCTTTCCTCTTACTTGCTTCCCTGATGGCTATAATCTTCAAATATTCAAACGTAATGTCAATCGACATCATCTTTGATCTTGATCCCCGTCTTTTCTATATACTTTCCTCAAACGCCTCTCTTTTCTCTTGCTCTCACTATCTGTAAACCCCTTGCGTGCTAGTGACACTACCGGCTTGCCTGGGGTGAAGTGCTTAAAAAAACCTGAGGAGGTAATTTGGAACCTGGTAGCAATAGTGAAGTGGTATGGAGGCTCGGTGCAAAACTCTGCATTCTACACACGAAACAATAGCAGAAAGT